GCACCAGCAACATCAACATCATCACCACCTTCCACCACAGCCTTTGATACCTATGAACCAGCCACAGTACAGACCTCATATACAGACTTCACAGCAACAGCCAAATAATAATAGAATGCAGTGTCAACAGAGACAGGGTCCAATGAAGCCAAGACATGTAAGTACTAGGGAAAGCAACAGGTACTTCAGTGTTCCCTCAAGCCTTCTGTGTTCGGAGGGAATGACTGAGCTCATGCTTTAAAACCTTAAGAGTACAAGATTTTGTTCCCATGTTTTCTCTTCTTTCATGGTCCTCTTGGTTCACATGTGCTGTCTTCTTTTCCTGGCCACTGACTTACTTTTCTATTCTTGTTCATTCCACAGTCTTCCTATGTAAAAACTTCCTTGCCACCTTTTGTCCCCCTGCTACTTAGTCTTCTCCATGCTTCTTGTTTCATCCTCGTTTCGCATCATTTCTTGCTCCTCACATAAGCCAAGGACTGGCAATCAGGAATGCTGGGGAACAGGAACTGCAGGGCCAGGCAACACAGGTGGCCACCTATGCTGGCAAATTGAAGGAGGTGGCAAAAATGGTGTGTGCATATCTCACGTGCTCATTGGCTGCCTTAGGAGTCCACGTATGTGCGAAAGTGAGCAGGGCAGTGTTGGCACTGTTGAGCTGCTGCTCTGGGCCTCTCTGGTGTCTGTACTTGCCAGGTCCCAGGTTATCAGGGAGGAAGTAAAATGTTGTTTGCATAGAAAGGCAAATATCCTTGCACTTCTCCTTAGTTGCAGCAGGACAGCTGTATGGCCAAATTTAAAACTGTACTGGTTGCCTTATGGTTGGGGTGAGGAAGCTAAGCAAATTAGCACTTAGGGTATCTGTGCTTCTGGGTCTGTTGATTAACATTACTGACTAAGCTTCTTGGAGCAGCATGCAGCTGTCATGCAGTTCACTTTTAACTCTAATTGCTCTGGCACAGACATGCTCTGCCCTTATCTTTTGCCCTTCTCCCATATTTCTTTACTTGCTTGCACTGTTGCAGGTGGGGTGGAAGAAGCAGTAATTTAGCAGCAGTACCCCAGTTAATTGAGTCACAGGTCAGAGCAGCTTGTTTGATTTAAGGGAAGAATTCTTTGAGGTGTTTTTTCTGTTTTGAAAATGGCTTCTGCGTGAGTGTGTGTACATGTGCATGTCAGATATTACATTTTGATGTTTAAAGAAACACAAAATTGTCATGGAAATTTAGTGTTTCAATTAGGGGACACTCCCTTACTTGAAGAACATGTTAAAAGTGCAGTTGTCCTCTGAAGAGCTACTGTGTTTAAGGATTGAGCTCACTCAATATTTAAGTGTGAGACTAAGGGAAGTTTAGTCCTGCTTGAAGTAGAACTCTCAGAACAGTTCTAATTCTCAAATAGTTACCAACATCTCCATAAAGTTTTTTTATTCTACCTGGCAGAACACACCATCACAAAATGTTGTCAAGCGTTCAAATCAGCAGCTACAAGCGACTGCAGCAAGAAATAGCAACTTGCGTGAATTACCAATAGCACCATCCCACGTTCTTGAAGCTAGCAACAACCGGCGAGCCCCTACACCTGCTGTTCAAGTAAAGCCCATTACCAGCATGACACCTACGAAGTCTGTAGTAGGTGTTGGAAACTCCCAGGGAAGGACTGAAATGAAAGCTCAAGTAGTCACACCAGTTGTTCAAATTAAACCAGAAGTAAAATCTGAACCAGAGGTAAGGAGTATTTCCCATTAAGGTTAAATGGTTATTTAGCATATATACATTTGTATTTCTTAATGTAACCAGTTGCTATGTAGATGCAGACAAGAAATATCTGCAAAAATTACTGTTAGGCAACTGCTAAGGCAGTGGCATTGCTGAAAGGTACGTGATCGAAAATCTAATCGCCTTTTAAAATAACACACATACTTTTCCAGTGTAACTTGCGAAGTATGAACTCACCTGGTCCAAGACCACTATGACGCTTCTTATTGCATCAGAGTTCCCTTGCCAGATTTTAGACTTCTTCATTGTAATGCTGCCAGAGAGCAATCTGCTTCCTCAGCAGAGAGAGATTCATCTTTTGAAGACAGCTGAGTGAGTCAATTTTGGGAGGTGAGAAGACCTGCTACTAAAGTAACAAGGGTAAAGGACAGGAACCCCCTGGACTAGTAGCCTTTGATAGCCTTTGATACTCTTTAATCTCTAAAGTGATTAAAACAGGAACAGCTATTGAGTGATGAAAGGAAGAGAAGTAAGGCTGATGCTAACTTGGAATTACTTGAGAGATGATATGGGAAGGGTAGCTACAGAGCTGACGGTGGAAGCAAGTCTGAGGAAACTATAGCAAGTATTATAGACCCAGAGGAGGCTGAAGACAACCTTCCCCAATGCCCCCTTGACAGCTGGCTGTAGGGGAGGAAGGGAGTGGGGCTCACAGCCATGGCACTTCTCTCTTTGCCTTGGGTCCTGCTGCTCCATTATTTCTCTGTCACAGTAAGAAGCATCTGGACCCAGCCAGCTCCCTGCTGTTCAGACAGATTTCCCTTGATTATACCACCAGATATTTTAAGTTTTTTTTTTTTTTTTTCCTCAGCAGTACTCATGCCTTGTTAATACTTTAATCTTGCAGCAGCTCCCAGACTGGTTTCCTGCTGCTTAGCATATCCTCCCAAGCCAGGGAGCCTCTATCGCCCTCTGTTTTATCTTCTGTCTCCTACTCCCTTCTCTACATGAAAGGAATGGGTGAGTGGGTTGAAGAGTGAACTTCACTGTGAAAGAGGCCCAAATGATTTTTCAAACACAAGTTTTTTCAGTGTTACCAATCTCTTTTGTGATCTGGAGCCCTCTCTGTATGAAGCTGTAACTTATCTAAACAGGCACACCTTGATGATGTTTTTTCTATACACCTTTGAAGTTTGGTTTGCTCCCTAGAGGAAATAATTATTTTACGTTTTCTGTTTTGGTGAAAATGGCTGTGATGTGCTAGGACCCTGGAAAACTGAAAGTGGAATGAAGCATGGCTGCACTTTCAAACTCTGGCTGCCATTCTAGAAGCTGGTGTGCTTCAGTGCGCTCTCTCTGACCTAGCACAGAGCTTCATGGAGGTTAGTGAGGCCCCACATGATCACAGAGGTTCACCTCTGGAGAGCAGTTTGGGTTCGGACTGGTAGTGCCCTGAATGTCAAACATGAGGTGATGCTTTGAAAGCATGATGGTTAAATTCATTCCTGTGTCAGGTCATTCTGAACAGCCATAAATTCTTCCAGTTAAGTTTGCTTTGAATTTTATCTTGAGGACCAGATTTTTATTAACAACTTACCTGGCAAAATTTGATTGTAGTAATACTTCTTTTAAGCTGGTGGTGATTTACTTCTATTTTTTTTTACTATTTGTGACCATTCCTAACGACGTCCACAAACGAAAACACAGGTAGCAGTAATTTGACCTCCTGTTCACTAGCTTATCAGTGGGAATAAAAACTCTCTTGGTTCAGCTTAGTTTCTGCTTAGTTTATTTTTTGCGGACTTCTTAAGACCCCTAGTCCTCTAAGTTCTGTTTGTCATAAAAGACTCTTTGTAACAGAAAATAATATGGCTCATTTCAAATCTAATATTTCAAGCTAGTTAAGGAAGGTAGTAATATGTAGTTGTTAGCAGATGGCAGAATTATAGACTTCCCTTCTGGTAAAGGTAAAGTAACTGTAAAATATGGACTTGTGTAATTTAAAGGAAAGAAATTACGGTATTGTTCCTGAACCACCATTTTCATTGTTTATCAAAATGCCCCCAAACTGCTCTGAAACAGATTGATTAGTTAACTTTTTTGAATCCAGGTCTAGTTTTTTGCTGGGTGTTCCCAGAAAAACAAGGTAAAAGGGGCATCTTATTTCTGCTAATATACTATTTAAATAGAGTGCACAAAGATCATAGTGATCCATGATTAACTCGTTCTGCCTGTGTTGATTTCTCAGTTATTTAGAACTTGTTCCTCTTATTCTTGCTTCAGAACTTATTGGGAAACAAGTTGTTAAACGTTTCTCATGGAGGCTATTTGCCAAAGGCTTTGCCTTGAAGCAGAGGAAATAATTCCTAGTTATACCTGTGATAGTAAAATCTGGGTAGAAATGGGCTCAGCAATTAGTGGGGGATAATGGAAAATACTGTTCTCTGTTTCTAAGGAAAGTCCATAAGGCAGCAGCAGTCCTCATATATTAATACTGTGTTTCTTCTCTTTGCTGGTGAGGTGTATAGGCATTTTGCAGTCTGGAAATTTCATGCACCAAAACAGTACTTTATTTTACCCAAACACATGCTTCTGCCCTCTAGTACAATATTGTAGTGTTCCTACAGTTCTCGTTTCAGAGCACACCGTATGCTATTCATATAGTCTTTTTCCATATCTTGCCATAAGTTAATCTTGTCATACTTTATAACCTTTTATGGTGTTAAAGGAGTAAAGGTACTTCCCCTTCTCTTGCTTATTTGCAGTATTGCTTGATAGTAAATTATATAAATTATTTTTCAGACATGTTAAAATTGAAGCAGATTTATTGGCACCATATCTTGCCGTCCCTTTCTTTCAAGCCAGTAGCTTACTTATAAGGTGTTCTAACATGCAAGGTTCCCAAGGAGCAATATTCCCATCTAGCATGATGTAATATAGTCTGTCTTTTCTCTGTCTCTCTCTGTTGCCCTGTTTCCACCTCCTTGAAATTGAGGCATTTTAAGTTTTCAGTTCTTTATGACTGAAAGCATGTGATGGGTCCTAAAGAAAAGCTGGGAAGCAACTCTTCCTGATTTAGCATAAAGCTTCTAGTCCTATTCCTGCAAAGCTGTGAAATTTTGACTTCTTAAATAGTTGTTGCTGCCACGCATTGAATCTTGCCTGTCTTGAATCTGATGGGGGGAAGTTTTGGCAGTGAACCTGGGGGTTGGTGGGAGAGGAGATGGAAGTCTGTGTAGTGTTTCTCAAGTGCCCAGTGTTGGCCTTATTCTGCTCCAACTGAATTGACTTCAGTGTTGGCATAATCGAATTCAGTAGGGGCAGAATTAGCCCAATTAGCTGTCCACTTAGCTCTGCAGTAAATGCATTGGCAGCCCTATTAGGCTTCAGTAAACTCCGCAGCAGGGTAGTGCTTGTAAATGTAAGTAAATACAAGTACTACCCTGCTGCAGAGTTGTTGTTTTTTTTTCTTGCACAGCAGTGTACATGTAGACACTGAACCAGCTGGCTGGGGCCCAAGGATGCTTCAGTGCTGGGGCTGCCTGCCAGGTAGCCCTGCCCTGAAGCTCTCTTGTGTCCCAGCCAGCCCCTCTGCAGCACGTTGAGCTGGGCAGGAGCAGCCCTTGTCTGGCAGGCTGCCCCCCAGAGCCCCCTGCCAGCTGGGGCTGCTGTGACTGCAGTCTTGGGCACACATTCAAGTGGTGCACCTGGAAGCTATAAACTCTAGTGCATTATACATGGGAGTTTATTGCTGGACATTAATAGCACCTGGGCACTTTTTTGTATGGATTAAAACAAAATTGTGGCTGTTTTGAAGTTGTTTAGAGCAATAGGGTCGTTCAAACTTGGACTAGGAGTGATAAATTAGTTGGTCCTAGGTTATCAAAACTGTATGCTAAATGTAATTAGTTTACCGTGTGGATATTGCTTCTAAATGTTTATACAAATGAGAAATAAATTAATTTTTTTGACTATTACATTTTTACACTGGCTTAGCAAATCCAGTGGCACGCGCACACGCAAAAAAAAGAGCTACATTTAATTGTGAAGCAAGTGCTTGAAGGATTTTTACATCTAATGAGGCATTATTTTGTTCCTATAGATCTTTTCTTGGGATTTAAGAAATGACCTGATTACTACTACTTTGAAGTGATCCTCTTTGGTTGTCGGTGTCTTTCCCATTTCAGAAAGATAGAATTGAGTTCCAAATTTAAGAGAATGGCTGTTGCCTCTTGCTCCAGAGGCTTGTGTGAGCTAGAAGATGCCTTTTGCTACTGTTTTTTTTTTCCTAATTAATTTCCATCAGAGATGGAGAATTGCAGGAGAGCAATAGTAACATAACTTTCTTTTTCATCTTTGTCTTAATTTTTTTTTATTTTAAATAACATGTTCTGGCACCTTCATCTTGTGAGTTACCACCTACCTCTTTGGAGCATAGGACCCTATCATCAAAACTGATCAATAACCTGAACTATGTGATAGATGTCTGGATTACAGATTTGTCAAGCCATTATATCATCATCATTTTGATTTGGAATAGGCTTGTAGTTAAAACATGGGCTTTGAAATCAGATGATCTGGATTTTGTTCCCATCTGATAGACTTCTGATGAGGTGAAACATGTTACAGGTATTCCTCACTTAACGTTGTCCTGGTTAATGTTGTTTCATTACTACGTTGTTTATTTATTAGAGAACATACTCATTTAAAGTCGCGAAGTGTTCGTTTATAATGTTGTTTGCCTGCTGCCTGCCAGTAGCTAACTACTGTGACGTAACTGGATTCACTTAACATAGTTTTGCTTAGTTGCGTTTTTCAAGAATGTAACTGCGACGTTAAACAAGGAGTAGCTGTACATAGCCTTTCAATATCTTGGATGTACTGTCTGCACAGGAGTAAGACTTCCTTCCAGTCAAGAGTCCACATTGTTGCCACTTGTGATGCACATATGCCATGTCTCCAATTATTTTGTGCCATATATGTTCATATGCCCACCCACTAAGGGCCTTAAGAATTCATTGAATCCTGTCGGTCTGTGACTGAAGTTAATGTTAATTAGGTGGCAGATCTTTAGTTTGCCTTTTTGGTATTTAAAAACTGGGAAGGGGATTACTGTTTTTGGGGGGGTCGGGGTTGTTTTGTTTTTAAGATAAGCTTGGTGCACCTCCTTTAATTCTAGTACTCAAGCTGTTATGGCAAAAGTTGGAGTGATGGTCTAAAAATATGTGAAGCAAGGATTTTGGAGGTCACATCTCCATGGACCAACTGTATGGTTATAATAGACTTAAACAAGCTTTCAGATGCATTCCTTGAAGAATGCTTGTCTTGAACAATGCATCGCACATTTCTTGAAGAATATGCTGCATTAAAAAAGCTGAAAATGTCCAGGGATAGAGACAACAACTTCTCTAGGTAGCCCGTTCCAATGCTTGACCACCTGCATAATCAGAAAGATCTTTCTAATCTCCGCTCTAAATTTCCTCTGCTGCAGTTTGAAGCTGTTGCTCCTAGTCCTATCCCCCACAGCCACAGAAAATAGTTTTTCTCTGTCATCTTTCAGGTATTTCAAGATTGTTATCAAATCCCCCCTTAATCTTCATTTCTCTTAATTCTGTCTGCCTCTCATCACAAGTCACGCTTCCCAGGCTTAATTTTTTTTTCACTCTCTGCTGGAGTCTTTCTGATCTGTCCATATCTTTCTTGAAGGGTTGGCCCATCTATCTTGAAGGGTTGACGCGGTACTCCAAGTGAGGCCTCACCAGCGCACAAAAGAACAGAAGAATCAGTTCCCTTGATTTGCAAAGGAACTTTTGTCTCAGATCTTTTCATTTAATGGTGTGTTTAGAGTTCATGGTGAACACCGGATTTAATTCCTGGTTGTTTTTTTGTTTTGTTTTTCATTCCAAAGAGAGAATTTGCAGCCCAGTATGGATCCTTGATATCTCTACATCATCATATACAGGTCCTACCTCCTATTTTTAGTGGGAACATCTTACGGCTAATACAGTGCCTAGCACAGGTAATATTCTCAGTCCTCAGCAGTAATGACAGCTCACTTAAGGAGATAAAATCCAAATGAGACCCAGGTAGGCTGGGATGGTTAGTCAAGGGCTGTCCTTAGTCAGGAATGACATATAAGCTTTTGTAAGCAACAGCTTGCTTCATCGGATGCTTTGAAAGGGCCTTGGGTATTGCTTACAAAAACTTGTACATCTCTGAATTAGTCTTTAACATGCAACTCTGCACTGCCTTCTGTCTGACTTCACACTAACACAGCTAGCTACCTGTCTCTGATCCTGGATAATAAAACACAGATTGCCAAACTTCTCCATTCCATGTCAGCCTGGTTTGAAACCAGCATATCTGCTTAACAGAAATTGTATGGAAGTTATTTCATTAAACCAGTGGAAACTAATGTGCAAAAGAATGTCTTTATCTCTGTCTGGAGATGCTGAGGCCACACTTAATTGATGTGTTTGTGTGGATGACCTTGCAGTGGAGCCTAGGCACCATCAAAAATATAAATATTCTAGAATTTGGAGCCATTGGCCTGGCTTGCAGAAAATTTCTGTTTTTGCTGTAGATATCCACTGTCAGGGTGGTGCCAGATAACACCACAGCTCTATGTAGTATCAGCAGGTCTAAAGAAGCCAGTTTATTCTACTCTGTAAAGAAGCCATTTGGCTCTAGTGTCCTTGCTTGTACTGGACAAGTTAGGCGGTTCTGGTATTTGGGGGTGGCAAAATTCTCAGTGTAGCCCTGATCCTCTTACCTGCTCTGCCTGTATCTGAAAACAAAGGGCATATGCTCTTGGGACCTAGCATTATTGCATTATCTGATAGCCTGCTACTGACTGGTAGGCATCCCTGGAAGCATTTTAGCTGAAGCTCAGAATATTTTGCTCTACAGCAGGAAATCCTCAATTAGCCTGACTTTATGTGGAAGAGGTTTCTTATTTAGACATTTCAGTACCAATTATCTCCCTAGAAAACACCCATTTTTAGAAATTTGGGCTTATTACTAGCCCTGAAAAAATTCTGACTTGGTTAGTTCTGTAAGGATCCATGTAGGAGCACTATCTGCCAATCACTCTCCTGATTACCTTTGTACTTCCTTGTTCTTTCCTTGCTTGTATTCCTTGAAGCCCTTGTTTCAGGAGCTCCTTCTCTCTTGGACCAAAATATAATATTAGCAAGGTTGATGGGTTCCTGCTTGAGCCCTTAGCAATTTGTTATTGTGACTACTTGTCAGTGAAAACCATTCTTTTGAACTGATGGATAAAAGAGATTCAAGGTCTCATCGCTGGTGGTACCCTGTATTATACTGTGTTTTATAAGGGCTTGGTTAGGATTTGACCTCATTTGTAACTCCTGCCCAAAGTGGTTTCAGAGTTCTGTTGGGCCACTTTTGTTAATCTCTTAATTGCAAGACAACCCTTCCAAAACTATTGTTAAGGTAGGATTCATTTTTATAGTTAAAAAAAAAAAAAAAAAATCAATCTAGTTGCCAAGAATGTAGTTGATGGGGCAGTCGCTCGGATTAGTTACCTGAGAGTAACCCTAATTTGAGAGATGGTGTCCAGATGGATTCCATGACTGCTTCTCTGTCCTGTGATTACAGAGCCCTATGGTTCTGCAACATTGGTAAAGGAATAAAGGCAGCTGGACATGCTTCACCCTTTATTCCCTTAGAACTGGGGGTTGTTAAAATGTCTTGGATGCAGACATTGGCATGACAGGCACTTTTGGCCAAAAGGATACATTACCTTGCACACGAGGGTAATATATCCAAGAACAGAAGCAGTGTGTACAGTGCATCTCAATGAACTACAGTTATTGTAAGGTAAGTAACCATTCTTCAGTTGATAGAAGTTTGAATGCCTTAATATCCTGTTATGGAACCCTGTGCTAAAATATAAAGTGGTGTTGTTTTATGAAAGCCTGTTCTTTATATATTTGTTCAATATACATAGTTAAGTATAAACTGAAGTTAAATTGGTCTGTTAATTGAAATAGGAAATACGTTATATAGCGTGTTGCTTCTAGTCTGAGTGCTTACGGCATTTTAATCTTAAGGCATTAAAATGAAATCTTATTGTATCAGGTATAATTTGTAATAAAATATGCATAACATGATGAAGCAGCTGTTCAAAAGAGAGCAGATTTCTTTTCCATAAAGGTGAGGGATCTGTGTTTCCCTGACTGTTGGCTATTTCACATAGCCTCTTATAAAGACACATTCTGCCAAAGTAGCAGAACCTTTAGAAAGGTTATTTGATGGTGTATAATACTTTCAGAAAGGCCCAGGGCTGGAATATTAAAGGCATTCTCTATATACCATTAATATTCCAACACTGCATTTGGCAACATTTTGATTCTGAAGAGAGTGCATGAGTTCAAGGTCAGAGAGATTGACTTGTGCTGTTCATTATAACCAATTATTGTGTGACAAATGAGTTTGAGATCAGGCTGAAAATTCTGTAAGAAAAATCAATAGTTCTAATCAGGGCCTTTCAGGTCATTTACCACCCTACCTTTTGTTACTTTGTCAGAAAAGAGCAAGATAAAACCTGTGTGACAGTGGGTTGCCTCGGTATTGTTACTTTCCATTTGAAACCATATTTTGATATCTTGAATTATATTAATAGTTTAATTGGTTTCAGAAACTTCTAAATGAGTTCTAATTTATAAGACTTTGTTTTTAGTATTCTGATAAGATTTGCCAACTAACATTATAGCTACTTTTTTTTTCCTCAGGAAGTAGTCTATCTAAGTCCTGAAATAGATTTAAGCTGTTTGTCTCTAATGAATAGCAAATAAACCTTAGTGGCAAATATGTCGCTAACAGTTTGAGCACAGGGTTGAGGATTATTTTCAAAGCTCTTTGGAGAGTTGTGCCATTACAGCGTCTTTTTAAAATGATAATTTAATATTGGTTTTAATCAGCCTGGACATGTCCTACTCTTTTTGGTAAATGTATTGACTTTTCCCCTTTGTAGTTTCCAGATGAAGATGAAGAAACCAGATTATACCGTTTGAAAATAGAAGAACAGAAACGTCTAAGAGAAGAAATTCTGAAACAAAAGGAGCTAAGACGACAACAACAGGCTGGTGCTAGAAAGAGAGAATTACTTGAAAGACTTGCACAGCAGCAACAGCAGCAGCCTCCTACCCAGCAGTCCTTCATGCAACAAGAGGAGGAATCCTCAGAATTGCCTGCCAATGGAAACCCATTCATACCCCATCCTGGCATGCAGGCCAGGCAAAATGTGAAAAACAGACTTCTCGTGAAAAAGCCAGACATGGTCATTTCAAATATTCAGCTGAAACCCACAGATTTCCCACAGGCTGGGGCTAATATGCAGTTTCAAGGACAGCCAGTAAAAACAGTAAAACAATTGAGACAGACTAGACCAGTACCTCAAGGTCAGCTTCCTCTGTCGCAGAAACCATTACCAACAAAACCTGCTGCAGGATCACTAACCCCAGCACAGACTGCTAGAGTGGCTTCAATACAAGGAAGGCCTCAGGATCTGAAACCAGGTGTGAAAAGGACTGTCGTTCAGCGGGCAAACAGTGGTAGTGGAGATGGGCCCCATGTCGGCACCAAAGTCAGGGTGATTAAGTTGTCAGGAGGGGTAAGTTTCCAAGGCTCATATATTTTTGTGTGGTTTGTTATGGTCTGTTTTTGTGCACGTTTCATTCTGTGTAATCCTATAATACAAAATGAACTGACACTGAAAAGAAAAATATCAAATTTAGAAGAACTAGTAGTCTGCATTTCAGAAGCTTATTTTCAGAACTATAGGCAAGACTTATTTTTAAGATACTGGCAAGTATGAAGGCTGGTTGTAATGTTACGTTGCAGGATAATTATTAAGTGTACATCACTGCTTTCAGATTAGCACGTCCTTTTTTTGGGGTGCTGAGATCTTTATTGAAGGATTCTTCTACAGATGAATCTTTGCTCAGAGTGCACAGGTATGCAAATGTTTTGATGTATGGGAAGAAAAGGATTTGTATGGCTTTTCTTTGAGAGGGAGGGAGGGGGCTTTGGCAGCGCTGAAGTTGAAACCATGCTAGGAATCAATGGTCTTTTAAACAGCTAGAGGTCAGAATGGTTTCCTGTGTAAAGTAGGAACCATAGTAAAAGACTGATATAAAAATAAATAAATAAACGTGGGAGGAGGACCCTTTTATTAGTGGCAGGGTTGAAAAAGTCACCATTTTGCTGTTGCATCTAAATTGCATTTACTTATTTTGATGATGGGTTTATTATTTACATGCCCCCTGGATTTTTGTTTTGTGGAGGACTTTGCTCCAGGTAGCATCATATATATTCATGATGTGTTTTCACCCAAATTTCTATTCCATACTTGATTCCCCATATGAAAATATTTGTTTTTATATTAGGTGTTCAGAATAATTGAGAAACCGGAGGGAGCTAGTAAGAGGATTCCATTAGTGAGAAATCTGCCCCTGTTTTTCCTTGAGGGTGTCTGGATTAGACCTATTGTAGGAAATGGGTACTCTGCAGAACATTTCTCAGCAAACAAAATAAATATATGCAGTAATCAAGGACACTGCTGCAACAACTGAGTAACAGCTAGGTGAACATAAGGAATGTGTTAGCAGCTCACTTACGAAGCTGTTTCTTGAAGACTCTTTTTCTCACATTTGGTTCTATTTTAAAGAATAAAATCAAGGAAATAAGCTGAGAATGTAGTGTAGGTGCCCAAATACCACGGTGATGAACATGGTATACTTCACTCTCAGTATCTTTTTAAAGAGGCAAGGAAATGAAAATGCCAGAGATGCTTGACTACTTTTCATAGGAATTTCACAGTATTATCACAGTCTAAAATGCTTCAAATAGTACAGTTATACAACGACCAATAACAGATTTTTAATGGCTTTTTTTAAAAAATAAGCACATTAACATAATAGAGTGTGGCTGAGGATCTGGCTAGATCACAGACCTTTGTGATTTAAATTTAATTCAGTAGAAGGGGAAATACTAGAAGCTGTAGGTGAGCGTGCTTATGAGGCTAAATAAAAATAAATTGGAGGAGCACCAGTGCATTGGTCCAATATCAGATAGGCACCGATATAGAGAAAAGTGTCTGTTATCACAAATCGGTCTGATGTGGCTGATTTTTTTTTTTAAATGGGCTGTGCATGCGTGCAGCTGCAGCACAGCACATAGGCAGTGAGGAGCACAGCTAGGCAGCTTGGAGAGCTGTGTGCAGCTGGTAAGTCTGGTGTGATGGAAGGGGGAAGGGAGTGGGCTAGGTTTGGGGCAGGGGCAAGCACTGCCCAGCTGGCTGGGGCAGGCGTAGGATGGAGCCATGGCTTGTGGCAGGGGCAGCTCCCACTGCCATTTGTTCAGCAGCCACTGGTCCAGTGGCTTGTCTTGTGCTCGTCCAGCAGCTCCCACCGCTGCTTCCACAGTTCATCTGGGAGGACATGGGTAGGGGTGCCCCTGTATCTGCACAGGGCAGGCTGGTGCTGGGGCTGTGCTAAGCTCTTCCCGTCAGGGTGGGACTGTGCATGGGGCAGGTGGTGGTGGCACTGGAAGGGGTTTGTGGGGAGCTATGGTGAATTTTGAGGTAGCTGCAAACCCCCTCCTCCCATAGCCCCCTCCTGCGGCTGCCCACCCCGCAGGGAAGAACTTGGCACAGCCCTGGCCCCAGTCCGCCCTGCACAGATCCAGGGGCGCACACCCCCCATGCCCTCCTGGATGAGCTGTAGGAGCTGCCGGATGAGCAGGTGAGCTGAGCACTGGATGAACTGCCAAATCAGCAGCTCTTGGATGAGCTGCGTGCAGGAGCAGAAGCTGTCCTCCGCCTCCCCATGGCCCCCAGATGAGCTGCAGCTGGGCAGCACTTGCCCTAGCCCCTGCCCCTATGCCCCCTTGCTGCAGGGGAGGCCTTGATCTACACCCCACCCCCCCAACGCCCAGGCAGGAAGACGTGGCTGCCATTGCAGCCACCTCTTTGCTGCCATGTGCCACCTTCGAATGAATTTCATTAGCAGCAGCAAAGTCCAACGAGGAAGCAGGTCTTCCCTCGACCTCCCCCTGCTCCAGCCCCTACGACCAACACTAAAGCCGCAACATGCCCTGCTCTCCCCTGAGCCTGGTGTCATGGCACGATGATTGAGCCATGCTCGGGGGCACTGGACCACGCCGAGGCTGTGGGCTCGAGCTTCGTGGCTGCATTTTTGTTCCCTTTGGACGTGCAGGTTTTG